CCAATTCCTTGCATATTCCATGCACATTCCTGTGCTTTTGCAGATCCCTGCTCTCACTTGGTTAATGACCTCTCTCGATGCAGAGCTGAGGAGGCTCCTGGACTGGTCTGGCAGGTGTGGGGAGCTGTGGGAAGTGGGGTGACTCTGGCAGGCAGCGATGTCCTAATTACACTCTGGGATTTGCATCCCAAACAGCATCAGTGCAGCCCCAGCAGTGCAGCCCAGATAAACTCCTGATAGAGTCCCAGAGATTCCTTATCCAGTTTCTGTGGGGTGTCCTTGACCTAGGCTGCAATGCACGATGGAACCAGGGGTGTGTATCCTACAGCAGCTGTTCAATCCAGGTGGGGCAGTGTTATTTATCCCTTCCATGGCCCATCCCTCATAACTCTGGGGGGAAATCCTCTGATAATGGGGTTAACAGGGACATCCTCTGACAATGGGGTTAACAGGAACATCCTCTGACAATGGCCCAGCTGGGGCAGTTCTCTGCTGTTCTTTGGGCAGTTTTCTTTATCTCTCCCACAGCCAATCCTCCCTCCAGGAGATCTCTGCTGTCCATGGGCCATTCATTATTAATTATCTCCTGTCCATGGCCAGTGAGTGTCCCTGCAGGGCTGATCCAATCCCATCATCCCATGGGGAGATGCTCCGCCCAGGGGAGGAGCCAAGCATTCCTACCTGGGTACAATCTGAGCTTTGGGACAGCACAGCAGCCTCTGCCCAGTGCATTCCCAGAGGAGCAGCTCCTGCTGCCCTGCATTGCCAGAGGAGCAGCTTCTGCTGCCCTGCATTGCCAGAGGAGCAGCTTCTGCTGCCCTGCACTGCCAGAGGAGCAGCTTCTGCTGCCCTGCATTGCCAGAGGAGCAGCTTCTGCTGCCCTGCATTGCCAGAGGAGCAGCTTCTGCTGCCCTGCATTGCCAGAGAGAGCCCAGGCCCATCTCCAGCAGCCCTGGAGCTGCAGAGGAAAACTCCCCCCTTGTGCAGGATCCCTGCTGGTGATGCCCTGTGCAGGCTGCCCTGGAGCAGGGGCTGGGCAGAGCTCCAGAATAAAGCAGGGATTCATTCCAAGCATCTCCTCCATGGATCCACCTTGGGCAGCACCAGAGCCCAGCCAGGGCTGCACCCAAGATGAACCAAAATGGCCCCAAAATGCACCAGCGCTCCCGGGGTCTCTGCCTTGGATCAGTTCTGCTCCATTTGCACCTTGCAGTTCATTGTCCCATCCCAGCTTTAGCCCCTGCAGTCCCACCCTGCTTGTTTTTCTCTCTCCAGCCCACGGGGTTTGTGCTCTTGGGCTGAGATTTGGATCATTTGTCCTTGGTGCCCAGCTGGAGCAGGAATTGTTTTGTCTCCCTGCTCTGTGCACAGAGCTCAGCATCCCCTCACGTGAAGCTCAGACCCACACACTAAAGCAGCACAGAATGGGAAACACAGAAAAGCTCAAACCTGAGGCATCACTTCCACCCAAACCATCCCAGGATTCCGTCAGAAGCTCACTCAGATGCTGCTAGCTTAGCTACAGTAGCAGGGCCTAAACCATATTTTATTTTTCCTTTTCTAATCTCTACCTGTCTTCAGCATCCCACCCCAGCCCTGCAGACTCCACAGAAATCCATGGCTGAGAAGGTCTGGTTGGAAGCAGGAATTCCTGCGGGACAAGGGTTGGACATGGAGAATTTGGTTGAAAGGTTGAAAACAGAGCATTTTGACTGCTGCTGCTTGGGGCAGTCCTTCCCCATTGCTGCATTTTCTAGGGGAGAGGGCCAGTTCTTGAACAGAAAACTTGATTTTGCTGGAAGAGATGAGGGGGAAGAGCAGAAGGCTGAGGGAGCAGGGCAGGGTTTGCTGGCAGCTGAGCTCAGGCTGTGTTTGGGACGGGAGGGAGGGAAGGCGAGGCTCAGACATGGCTTGTGGCACATCATCCCCATGATTCATATTTGGAAATGATCTGGCTGCAGGCAGATAGTTTGGAACACCATCTATTATGCAGATTCTTACCTCGTTTACTTGCCCAATTAGATCATTAAAGAGCCTCCAGCATTTGCAGCCTGCTCTTATTTTGCAGCTTTTCTGAGGAAAACTCACCCTCTTTTCCTTACACCAACCTCATCCCCAAATCCCCTCCACCCTGGGGTTTCTGGATGAGGTTTGGGAGATGCAGAGACTGGGAGCTGTTTGAGAATGATCCCAATCAGAGGTTGCAAAAGGAGGTGGTGGCTTCACTGCAGGCCTTCCTGTGCCACATTTTTGTGGCTGCTTAACCCCATAATTCTGTGGAGACACGAAATTGCCCCTTGCAGGAGCTCAAAGCCCCACGGGGGCAGAGGTGTTTTGGGAGGTTTGAAACCAGGCAAGGCATGAACTGTAAATATTTGTTTGCCTGCTGTGCTCCTCCCTGCAGAGTCCTTGAGCTTGGGCCCGGCCCCGAGATCCCGGTGCTGCGTCCTGAGCGTGGCGCAGGCAGAGCATAAATTATTGCACAAAGCAGAGTCCTGTGGCCAGGGGAGATTTCAGCAGGCAGGAGGAGGGCGGGGAGCGGAGGACACGCTCTGTAACTGAGGATCAGAGCTCCTGGGCTCTGCCTCTCCATCCACACGGGAGCTGCTGCTCCCTGCAAGGCTCCAGAGCATCCCCTGCCCAGCACAGGTGAGTTCTGCTTTGTGCATCCCGATTTTTCCTCAGAGTGATGCATTTGGTGGGAAGAGGCTCAGGTGTCACCTGATTTAGGAAAAACTGTGTGTAAAGGGCAGAAATGGGATGGGTAATGAGGATATTGCCACAAGTAATTGTTAACGTTTTGAACTACAGAGGCATTTGTTTTGCTCACCTGGCAGGAAGAAAAGAGGAGAGGGAGATATGGAAGCAAAATGTCACTGAAATCTCTGGGAAGTGGCTTTTTTAGGGTAAAATCCCACTCTGCTTGGAGCTATGGAGTTAATGGGATGTCATTTCTGAGGGACAAATTTCTTTCCACAGATTTTGACACCAGCAGGGGTTCTTTACTTCCCAATTAAAAAGTGGGAAATCCGAGTTTTTGATTTGCTTCCTGTTACTCACCAAGGGACAGAAAGTGCCAATAACTGAAATAGTCCTGTTTTCCCTTTTCCTCTCCAGTTCTGTGTCCTGCTGCTGCCATAATGCAACACTCAGTAACTACTAGCATTGATTTATTTCTTCTTTAAAAGAAATCTGTGTTTATTACTATTTTACATTATTATATATTATATACGATATATTATTTATATTATATTATATTATATTATATTATATTATATTATATTATATTATATTATATTATATTATATACTACATATTATTATTAGTAGTAGTAGTTATAGTATTAGTATTATTAGTATTATTAGTATTATTGGTATTATTACTTCATTCTGGCAACAGATCAATTCAATCCCTGCTGCAGAAAAAGCTGGATAACCTGGATGTAGTTTCCTTTTATTGGAATTCTGTTGGTGTGGAGCTCTCCATGCTCTCAGTTTGCACCTGGAACTTCCAGCAGCGACTGGAGCACGAGACATAAAATGCAGCCTGCAGAGGCAGGAATCAGCCTTGTAGCAAATTCTGTGTAGAAATCCACAGGTGGGGAGGAGGAGGAGGAGGAAGGAGAGAGGGTTTAAAGGGAGTTTTAATTAAGCTGCTCCAACAGAGCCTTGAGTAACCCAGTGCAAGGTGAAATTCTGGCAGAGCTTGGCCTGGGGAATGGAATTGCCACAGCTCGTGGGTGAAATGAGCTCTCAGGGAGCCTCCTTGGTGAGGCTGGTGCAGTGTGAGGTTCCATGGTGCAGTGTGAGGTTCCATGATCCCCAACACTTCAGGAGGAATGTCAGGTTCCCATTTCCAGGTTCCCATTTCCAGGTTCCCATTTCCATGATCCCATTTCCATGATCCCCAACCCTTCAGGAGCAATGTCAGGTTCCCATTTCCAGGTTCCCATTTCCATGATCCCATTTCCATGATCCCCCACCCTTCAGGAGCAATGTCAGGTTCCCATTTCCATGATCCCATTTCCATGATCTTCCACCCTTCAGGTGCAATGTGAGGTTCCCATTTCCATGACCCCATTTCCATGATCCCCAACCCTTCAGGTGCAATATGAGGTTCCCATTTCCAGGTTCCCATTTCCATGATCCCCAACCCTTCAGGTGCAATATGAGGTTCCCATTTCCATAATCCCCCACCCTTCAGGAGCAATGTGAGGTTCCCATTTCCAGGTTCCCATTTCCATGATCCCCAACCCTTCAGGTGCAATATGAGGTTCCCATTTCCAGGTTCCCATTTCCATGATCCCCATTTCCATGATCCCCCACCCTTCAGGAGCAATGTGTGGTTCCCATTTCCAGGTTCCCATTTCCATGATCCCCAACCCTTCAGGTGCAATATGAGGTTCCCATTTCCATAATCCCCCACCCTTCAGGAGCAATGTGAGGTTCCCATTTCCAGGTTCCCATTTCCATGATCCCCCACCCTTCAGGAGCAATGTGTGGTTCCCATTTCCAGGTTCCCATTTCCATGATCCCCAACCCTTCAGGTGCAATATGAGGTTCCCATTTCCAGGTTCCCATTTCCATGATCCCCATTTCCATGATCTCCCACCCTTCAGGTGCAATGTGAGGTTCCCATTTCCATGATCCCATTTCCATGATCCCCAACCCTTCAGGTGCAATATGAGGTTCCCATTTCCAGGTTCCCATTTCCATGATCCCCATTTCCATGATCTCCCACCCTTCAGGTGCAATGTGAGGTTCCCATTTCCATGATCCCATTTCCATGATCCCCAACCCTTCAGGAGCAATGTCAGGTTCCCATTTCCAGGTTCCCATTTCCATGATCCCCAACCCTTCAGGAGCAATGTCAGGTTCCCATTTCCATGATCCCATTTCCATGATCCCCAACCCTTCAGGAGCAATGTCAGGTTCCCATTTCCAGGTTCCCATTTCCATGATCTCCCACCCTTCATCCCACAGGGAGCTCTGGGATCAGGGATGGATGTGAAGAGCACCCCGAGCTACCTGTACTGGCTCTTCTGCCAGTTTGAGCTGATCACCTGCAGTTACCTGATGGAGCCCTGGGAGAAGGTGCTCTTCTACTCCTTCAACCTGGCCATGCTGGGGCTGCTGCTCTACACCACCTATGTGTGCCTGGCTTTCCATGCCAGCTCGGCCTTCCAGCTCCTCTGCAGCTTCCTGGGAAACCCACGGGAAAATTCTCTCTCTGTGGTGAAGTAAAACCTCAGCCTGGCTTTGGCATCGAAGAGTTTCCTTATCCCATTTTTGTCCAGGAGCAGCAAACTCTGCTTTATTCTCTCTTCGTGTTTTGCTCTGACAGGAAATTATTTTTGCTCCAATCAATCCCTGTTTTTACTATTTGATTCTTCAAGAGCTTTCAATTTTAATGACCCACTGGAATTACAGAGCTGGGATTGGGACAGGAACAGCCCCCCCGAAGATTTTGTTATTCTGGGGGAAGGAACAACCTCCTTGAAGATTTTGTTATCCCAGGGAAAGCTGCTTGGATATGGGAAGTTTTCATCTGGAGAAATGAGAGAGCGTGAATTTGTTCTTGTCTGCCAGAAGAGATGTGCGCACAAAAATCCTGGATGAGTGGGAGCTGCTTCCCTGAGCTTGCTTGTGTTTTTATGGAATGATTTCAGGGTTTATTCAGTCTCCTTGATTGTTTTATACAATGAATTACTTGGCTGGCTCGTTATCATGGTGCAAACAATGCCACTGATTCATTAAAAATGTGAGGATGTGCTGCTGTGAAAATTTCTGATGAAATTCTCAGACTTTTGGGCTCTATAAAACCAGATAATCTTTAGAAGATGAGTAAATCACATGCATCATGTAGGGAATATAACACTACAGATTCACTTGTGGCAGGGTTTCAGTTGAAAATAAACCCCTTAAAAATATAAAAATACGTCTCCTTTTTTCCCAACCCTTTACTCCCTCCTTTTCCCCTCTCACCCTCTCCCTGCTGGGCAGTGCCTGAACCCCAAACTCCTGAGCTGTAAATAACGTGCTGCATTTGGCTGGGACTGCTTTTGTTCCAAATCCCAAGACTTTTTAGCCTTCAAACCATCGAATTCCTGTGCTCCCTGCAGTGGGCAGGAGCTGCCCTGGGATGAGCCTGGCACTGAGAATTGGGGTTTGGAATCCTCGGGAGATGGAGGGAGCCAAGCAGGACACACAGGGTGACACAAATCCACATTCTCCACCCACACTGAGGTGAGATTTGGGATTTTTTCCAAGGGATGTCCTCTCCTTCCAGAGGATGGGTTGTTGCTGTAGGTGGCAATGCAGGGAATTAGGGAATGGGGCTTGATCACAGGAGGCGACAAAACAAAGTGAAGACATTAATTATGTCATTTGTCACCTCAGCTGCTTTCCCAGTTTATAATTATGGGGAAATAAGGCAGGAGATGAAAATAATTTCTCTGGGAAAATGAGGACAGCTGTGCTCAAACTCCCAAGTCTTTTAACAAGTATCTCTAATTTTGAAAAAAAAAAAAATCTATTCAATACTTTCAAATTTGGATCCAATGGGATGTTTTATTCAAGTAATACAATGGTTGAAGTAGTAATTAGTGTAGATATGCTTTCATGCTTAGTCTGCATATTGTGTTTACTGATATTTATCAATATAATTTGTATTTACTGATGTTTAGGAACAAGAGGGAGCACACAATACTTTACTTATATCAATCATTAGCCTATTTATGGAGACAGTGAATTCTCCCCAGCCTGTCAGTCCCTAATACAGAGAAATACAGGCAGTACTTTGCATTACAGGTGCAAAATCTGTATTTCTCAAGACTATGAAAATAAGCATTGCTCAAGCTGTGCCTGGGAGTGAGCCCAGGGCAGGGGCAGGACACTCTCAGTCCCAGCAGGACTCCACAAGGACATCCTGAGCATTTCTGGGCACTGAGGAATCCCAGAGCAGGCTGGAGGAGCAGGAACTTCATTCACCCTGGTTGTGTTACTGCTGCCCTTTCCCATTTGGGGTTTTGGGGTGCCCCTTTCACAATACCTGGGGTAGGATTGGGGTGGGATTGGGTGTAGGATTGGGGTGGGGCTGTGCTCCCATCCCCAGCTCCCAGCTGGGCTGGAGGAACAGGACAGAGCCAGGAAAGCACCAAAATCCAGCAGAGGAAACAGGGAGGCCAAGGGGCAGCTGGAGCTCCCCAGAGTTCCTGATTCATTTTCCTCATCCCCCCCTTTCCCCTGGCTGTCCCAAGCCTCCAGGATTTAAAGCATTTCATCCCATTTCAGTTCCCAGCACTGCCTAGGCAGGTTCCTGCCTGGGGGGGTCCGGATTTGCCAGGTCAGGCTCAGCTGGGAATGGGATCAGGATCAGGCACAGCAGGAGCTGGGCCAGGCAGGGGTAGGGTGGAGAGCAGGGAAAGCTTCTGCCCCAGAGGGTGCTGGGCACTGCCCAGGCTCCCCAGGGAATGGCCCAAGGCTGCTGGAGCTCCAGGAGGCTTTGGACACCACTCCAGGGATGCACAGGCTGGGATTGCTGGCGTGGAACGGGCTCTTTCCACATTCCTCTGGATTTTTCCAACCAGCTCCACAGGCTGCTCTGAGTGGCCACAACGCTGAGTTTTTCCCACCTGGTGCTCAATGTTTCAACCCTAAATGAATGAATGGATGCATGGCTGGAGCAGGAAGTGTTCCAAGAGGATTGGGAAATGGAATCTTCCCTGCGCTCCCTTCCCTGAGCACGCCAAGGGCAGCTCTGTTTGTCTGTCCTGGCAGAAAGGAATGCAAGGGTAACATTCAGCTCCTTTCAGGTCCCTGCCATGTGGAAAGGAAATATTTAAATGACACAACCCACACTGCTTCAGCAAGGGTGGAAACTAAAGGACAAAGTAAGAACCAGCTGCTAAAATCCAGCTGCTCGTGCTGCTCACAGGAAACCTTTGATGTTTCCAGCCAGAACACCCTGCTGCATTCCCAGCATCCTCCTTAGGAGTGATTTTGCTGCAGGATTTTCACACCTTTGCTCCCATTAAACTTTAATTTTATCGATCCAAAGAGTTTGCACTTCCTAAAGGCACTAAAGGTGGTTCTGTCCATGTGGCATTTTAGCCCCTCTGCTGCTGATCACTTCAGGAGTTTTTAGAAGCTTTCTAAGATAATTTCTTACTCCTTGTTCCTGTCATTGTTTTGCACTCCAACAGCTGCACTTTGCTTTATTTCCAGCCACGTGTAATTGCAGTTCTTATCTTTGCTCTTCATTACCTGACCTGAAAATCCTGCTTGGAGAGTGAACCTGTCAGCACTTCCTGGCCTCTGCATCCCACAGGACATTTCCATGAGCAGGGGGGAGTTTCCAGCAGCTCTGTTTGCTTTTCCAGAGCTGACCTGAAATTCCTCTGTCCTGCCTGGCTGGAAGTTTCTGCTTCAATTCCCTGCTCAGCTGAAACTGCTTCATGCAACAATTGAGTTCCAGTCTCCCCGAGACAGGAAACTCCTCCTTCCTCCGCTGCTGGCATTCCCAGTACAGAGCAGAAATATGATTTGGAATAGGATTTATTTTGGTATTTTTCCAGGTCTTTTTTTCCAGGGATCAAGGTGTGAAGCACCATCCTCAGAGCACCAACTCTCAGCAGGGTGTGCAAACAGCAGCAAATATTGCACAGCTTCAGGAGTTTCCTTGCATCTCACAGATCTCCCTGATCAGAGATGAGTTTAAAATTGGCTTTCAAGGCTGTTCAGTCCCTGTGGGGGATTTGTGTTATCCAAAATGCTTTCATTTTAGGAAGATGAATATTTAAATTGCACAATCCCTTCAGTTTATTGCTTTGCCATCAGGCTTTAGTTTTGTTTGAAACTGAAACCCTGAGAAGTTTTAAACTTAATTTTCTGATTTGGCTTAACCAGGTTCCCATCTTGTACTGAGGAGGAAACAGAGATTCTGACAGCAACGAGATTCTTTGTTCCATGATGATGTCCTGGAATGGGCTCCAGTGCCATTCCCAAATCCCTCTGCATTTCCAATTCCCCCACTCCTTTCACCTGCTCTGGGAGCTGCAGCTGAAACAAATGGCCCCGAGTTGAGACCAATCTGCAGAAGGAGCCGTTTGCTGACATTAAATCCTCCAACACCAAGCTCGAAGCAATCTTGGTCTCACTTTCCTTTAGCTTGGTGTTATTTTGAATTTAAATATCAAGAACTGCCCGGGCATGAAGAGTTTTTGCTGAGTTTTCAGCCCCTTTTCCTGGAGCAGGGAGCAGCTCCTGGGCCGTGCAGGAACAGTGACACCAGGTGGGCTCTCACGTTCAGCACATCCCGATTTTCCATGGATACTCCTGCAGAACGGGGAACGGATGGGATTGGATCCATCTCTGCCAGTCCCAGGTGGAAATGGAGCCACTTTTCCCACTGGCATTCCAGTGAAATGATTCCAAATCCCAGAAATCCAACAGAAGGAATCTGTAGCCTTGTTGAACTTTTTATGGAAAACTTCCTGACACAATATTCCTTTAAGATTTCCTATTTTAAGCTACTTCCAGGAATAAGAGACTGAACTAACACTGATTTTATTATGTCCCCACCAGATCAGTGTCTCAATTCCCCAGCTTGCAAGCTCCCAAAAGTGGCCCAGGAGCTGTCCCTGGAGTGCAGCCAAGCCCAGGCACCTGGCCTGAGGTTAGAAGTGCTTTCCCATCAATATTTCACCTCAGCAATTCCCATCTGGGAAAACCTGGGACCTCTGCAGTTACATCAGGCCATCCACTAGCAGATTTTTACAGCAGTTAAAGGTGAAATCATCACCTCGAGCTTTTCATCATCAACATACAAGACTTTTATCTAGGGGAAAAATAAATCAAAAATGAGTATTTGCACATTCCAATCCCCTTTTTCTGTTCATTTCCCCCCCCTCAGTTATCCAGCTTTTGTGCTGTAAGCTCTGATTATACAAGAATTTTTTTCCCCCACCATTTTTTTCTCTGAGCAAAACGTAATTCCAACGTTCTGCACAGCTTCTCCCATGACTTCCAACTCAAAATCCATCAACATCTGGGTGGAAATGCATCATTGAGCAGGTCTGGTTAAGATCCTGAAGGATTTCTGTTGTATAAAAGGAGCTTTTTGTGGCTTAAGGCAGAGATTTTCAGGAAGAGCTGCAGGGCCAGTGGCAGCTTTTATCCATGGCAATGAATACTTTGTTAACTGAAATACTGGTGAATATTTTATTTGTTGGACACTCCCTACA